GTGTGTGTGTGTGTGTGTGTGTGTGTGTGTGTGTGTGTGTGTTTACTATGTCTTTGCTGGTATTGATTTTTGATACAACTGTGACTTTTGTAATTAATCAGCAATTAATAAGATGATTTTTACCACTGTCATATTACAAAGGGCTATAGGCAGTACGATCTTGAGAAGGTGCCCAATTATTGATATTGAACCTTTTGGAGGATTTAAAATAAGCATATAAATCATTTGTTTCTAACTCAGGAACAATTTGGTACATAGTCAGTATAGAATATAACCACATTAGGTAGTCATATATGAGGTTCTAAGGAAAATGGATAGATTGAACAGCAGGAAAATGAGGCTATGTAGATTATGCAATTTCTGGTCTCATCCTCTAAAGCAAGGGTTAGTTCTTTCATATGTGGATTACTGGAGACAGTAACACCTCCAAGATCCATTTTTTCTGTGTTCCCATAGATGCTTTGCCAGGAAGCACTGAGAGTTTTGGGCTTATGTCCTTACTCATTTCCATAGAGTCCTGCATCCACAGTGTTATTACTTCTGAGCAGTATTTAAAGCACTGAAACTGGGTAGTAGAATCTCTGTTCCCCCAGCTCTCCCCTTCCAGAGCCTACCTCAGTTCTTCGGTCATATTCCCTGCTCTCACGTACTCTCAGCACACTACTTGGCTTGAATTTTTACCATTTTATATAAATAAGGATGCTTCTAATAAGAATAAGAAACCTCTGAGTTGAAAAAGAGCACAAATTATATAGGTGTAACCAGGCACAGTTTGATTAGATTTAATGCTCATTCCATTATGATGAACTCATAACTGGCACTGCCAAAGTGAACTAGAAACTGAAACTAGATAGTCAATGGACTGGTGGGGGGGGGAAAACCTACTAATAGAATTCAGCTAAAGGAACATAGCAATAAAAATGACTCCCTGTGACATCTTTTCATACCCATGGAGCGGAGCATCACTCATCAGAGGAACTTCTTCTTGCATTATTGACACAGGTACCCAAAACTGGACAACATGTAGAGAATGAGACATTTTTTGGGAAGCCAGCCCCAAACAGGATATCTTCATCAAACTTTCCTCTCAAGGTTCAGAGATCTACATGGACGAAGAGCCAGAAGGATCTTAAGAGTCAGAGGTGGTAGATTTCTCCAAGGAAAGAGCATCCTAGAGATGCACCAGCACTAATGCACATTTGAACTCACAGGAACTGTGACAGCACCCACCAGACCTGCCAAAGTCCAAAGCACAAACAGGGGCAAGTGGACACGCGTCTGACCCCTACATAAGAAACTCTTTGCAAGTTATGCCAGCTGGGAAAGAGAAAAATCAGTTTTCCCCAGTGAAGTGTCACTGAGTATACCAACTACACAGACCACACAAAATGGACACCATGCTTTTCTTGCACTTTTTATGTTTTGTTATTTTTTCCCTAGTGGTTTTCTCATTTTAGTTTGTTTGTTTTAACTTTTATCTTTTTGTTTTATGTTTTTGAGTAGAGAATGAATATAGTTGGGAGAGAAGGTGGAAATGGTATGTATGTTAGAGAAAAAATGTGATCAAAATAAAATGAATGAAAAATGTTCATATAAAAATTATTAGTGATCTGGTTGGTGAGATGACTCAGAGGTTAAGAGCACTGACTGCTTTTCCACAGGTCCTGAGTTCAATTCCCAGCAGCTACAGGGTGGTTCACAACCATCTATTATGAGATCTGGTGCCCTCTTCTGGCAGGTAGGCAAACATGCAGACAGAACACTGTACACATAATAAATAAATGAATGAATAAATAAATTCATCTTTAAAGATATTACTATTGACCATAAGTGGATTAAATTAACTGAATGATGAAAAGACAATTCAAATCCATACTAAGAAATTTCACAAAAGGTTAGAAATTATGAAAGAAAATCAACCTAGGGACTATGAAACTGACTGAACTCCCCAGAACACAGTGAAAGTACCAGAGTAGCAGAGTAGACCAGGGAGGAAGCCAATGCCATATGTGGAAAGCAGTGTTGAGAAATCACTAAATTGGATGATTATGGAGACAAAAATCATGCATGACTCTAATGTCCAGGACATCTGGATAGGAGGTCAAACAAA